AGAGAGAGAGAGAGAGAGAGCGTAATGGCAGCAACGTAGGAAAGAGGAGATTATCGCCGCATCGACTGTGGCAATAGGGAAGTGTCGGTCGGGCGTCCTGAATATACTTGTAGTGGATATTTTCGATTCGAGCCGATTGCACAACTCTCTCTGCTTGGTTAGCACGCGCATGCTTCTCTGCGTACAGCGGTTATTCAACGACGACGTAAGTATACGTGCTTTGACTCGTCTTGTTTCTGCGTCGTAATTAACGTCTCTGTCTTTAATCGTCGGCTTCACGTGTTTAAATTACCGTCAACTATAAATTACGACTCGTTTGAACAACCTTGAATCGAAAGGTCTGCTCGATAGAAGCGAAGTTGCCAGGTATATTACGTGTGGTACACGTGTGCATCATCGTATCAAGGCTGAGTCGCGATTACCGACGGAAACGAGATTGATATAAGCGGAAACTGTCGAAAGAGGTACGCGCAGCGCAGCGCCACTGTCAATTCGTAGAGATTTCGCCAAGTTTATGCGCGCGCAACGATGCGGTTAAAGAAAACGGTCGAACGCGGTCTCGAAACGGTTGGAAGAATTGAGCAATGTGATCAATTTTTATCTTATTTATTAAGTATACCATAAAGGCTCATAAGTATTAAGACATCGACTGATCTCGTATGAAATGTAATTATTGACATGAATTACTGGAGAATGATCATAATAGATGATATAAATATAGAGATATAATATTTTAAAATATGCAATATGTATACTGCATATACAAAATACAGAGTTTAGAAGACGTTTAAAAATAAAATTCTTTGAAATGATTTAAAAATAATCATTTATCATACTGGACTTAATTTATAATAAGTTTTTATAAATAATTTTAAACGATTATTTGTGATAATTGCCTAGAAATAGTGAAAATAATTAATTAACAATTATACGTTAATTTTTACGATCTATTGACTTATAATCCATTGAGAAAATATATGATAAATTAGATAGAATCTACTAAATAAAATCTGAATTTAATTTATTGAATCATATCATATAATATGCACTTATGGGTAAATAATAAGAAATACAAAATCTAATGTGAATTTTAAAAATTCGTTAAAAAGTATATTAAAACATTTGAAAAGTATATTTAATTTTGTTATACATAATTAATAAAAGTTTTATAATTAATATCTGTTTTAAATCCATTCTTTGTAATATAAACTTCTAAAAAAAAATAAGTATAAAAGATAATCTAAAATCTTCATGTTTGCTTAATTCTTTTATAAATACTTTCTCTTCTGATTCATTTTTATATTGTCAAATTTTATACTGGCATTTATATAACTATCAAATAATTGTATAATAATCTCCTTACCTAGAAAAGAAAATATTCAAATTTATTAAAAAAATAGAACAAGATTGAATAAATAAATAATAAATCGAAGCAATGTATCTTATTATATCGAATCTGAAAATTAGCAACTTTTTAAAAATTTCTGATTTTTCTTCCTTTTAACCCCCCTAAATTGATCAAAAAATATTTATCAAAGCGTACAAGTTCGCATCTTCTGCTTATGCGATTGCTTCTTGATTCATAACAATAATTAAATCATGAAAATACATCACCTCATAAATTTGAACGAATCAATCGAAAAACAACATTTTGAATATTTTGTTCAGCGAGCTATGCTCGTGTCTGCTCGTTATCTCTTCGTCTACTACTAGTCTCGGAAGCCGCAAAACTGTATAGAGGGATAATCCATAGGTTCGAGTTGCCAACGTTTCCTTGTTCAGTTTATTTCGTTCGCGGTTAACGGTTATGCGCCAGTGTCGCGTTCTCGATAAGCTAGGTGACACGCACACTTTTATCAAATGGTGAAACCGCGTTTGATCCACGTGTCCAGAAACGGGCTTTCGTGTCGCTACTTACGACACTGTGCAACGTGATCTCCGAGAACCGCACGCGAGCGGTTCGTTTTCTTTTCCTTCAGCTTTGCGATATAATATCCTCCCGGCTCGTAACTTCACGCGCGCGTCTAGCGTTACCGCGCGTGGATGCACGCCCATACACGCTCATACGCGAAAGATACCACGGATCATTCGATCGATCCTTCGACCACCATGATTTCACATGGCCCAACCTTTTTATGCGACCGTCTAAAACTTTGGTTATCGACCGATGTGTCGATATTCTTCCACACTTTTTCTCTGTTAAATAACGATGATTATTATTATTAATTACCATTGTTTGATTGTTAATTACAAACGATCGATATAGCGTTTTATGCATCAGATTTTTTAGATATTATAAAATTTAGAAATGTTACAAAATGTTCTTGTACGCGAACAAAAATTTAATGTTGAGATGTATTCGTAATTGAAGCATTATCATTGAAACATTAAGATATCAGTCGATATTTTTTCTTTTTTCGAGATTTTTCTTTTTACTGATTGTTATTAATTAGCATCTTCGATAATATATTGATAATGTCACTATAATGATCAATGTAATGTTTTACTAGATTTCTAACGAGGAATATTATTATAGAATTTATAAACATTATGAAATCTTGCTATTCGCGCAAATAATTTAATGTTGAGCTTGAAGTGAACGAGTTGTGTAACTGAATCACTATTATTCAAATTGTTATGACAAATATATTGCGAGATGCTTGTGAAAGAAAAGAAACAATAACACGAAGAAATCAAGAGGATGCCTTGATTGTGATTATGACTTTGTACAAAAATTATTAAATAAATTCCAATTCGAGAATTCAGTGTCATTTCTTTCTCGTTCTTATACAATATGATTTACATACATATATAAATATACACATTCGGAATTAATTTATGCGTTAGCTCGAAGTTAGATAAAACAGAGATAGCTGGTGAACTTTTGTTATCGAAACTAGACTCGTTTATCAAGATCGCCGGGACAAAAGATTGCCATGGCGGAATGTATAACAATTGACAGATCGAAAATTGAGATTAGAGCGTAAATACGGATTTTAATCGGGACACCAACCTTTTCTCTGTTTCAGGATACATGAACTGCAATGCCAGCACGCTGCAATCGCTCACGCAACTGCACGGTGAGTGAAAACTGTCAGTTCGTTCCTTTTTCTTCCCTCTTGTCTCGTTCTTTTGTTCTTTCCGTCGTTTGGCAGTTTCTCGAATGTTTCGCGACACGATGGTACTTAGAGTGTGGCGTGGCATGACGCGAGATGGCACGCCGCATCGCACAGGAAGATTCCTCAAGGGGAGAGAGAGAGAGAGAGAGAGAGAGAGAGAGAGAGACGGAGAGAGACTAGA